TCACTACTCGTGAGACTGAACTGGTGAGTAGTGACATCTGTGATTTGTGAACTGGGCGATGCAGTCAGTATGCAATCTGCAAGTTGATCGCAGTTCCGATAGTCACATCACACATGTTCTCGTCGTACATCTGTGTGCAAGGCTTGACGAAGGAGTAGAGATGTATTCTGAATGTGGGTGGAAGCGATTATTTCGGCTTGAGGATGACAGATGAGAGGGAGGGAATCAAGGTGTTTGAGAATACCACTATTCCATTCGGTAGAGTTCTATCACGATGTGATGATGGAGCAAATGTCAACTGATTGATTGTTGGCCGAATGAAAGAAATGGAGGCGTTTACTGAGAGAGACTAGGCATTAGACGAATATACGTGAATACACAGTCGAAGTGGAAATCATTAACCACGGGAATGATGTGATTTTCAACAAGTGACAGTAACACTGTATACACCCACCCAACCACCCACCCACCGACACAGGAAGACTGAACACGCTCCAGACATCTCACGTGAACAGGCATACGCAGAGAGGCGTGACGATATCTTGGAGGTCAAGTCAACCTCCTTACATAAAATGATGCATTTGTCGATTTCTAATTCGGATGCATGTGATTTTCACCTTCTTCAGAAGCTGCAGTTACCACGGCGAAGGAGATGGCGTCGGCTGTAGAAACCACGACACGTGAGTCCACTTCATTTCTCACCAATAACTGAAAAAGTCAGAGATACAGATAGAGTTGGATGAAGCGAGACAAACAGAGAGAGAGAGAGCGGGAGAGAGATGGCGTCATTTGTCTGCAATGTGTCACTACTCGTGAGACTGAACTGGTGAGTAGTGACATCTGTGATTTGTGAACTGGGCGATGCAGTCAGTATGCAATCTGCAAGTTGATCGCAGTTCCGATAGTCACATCACACATGTTCTCGTCGTACATCTGTGTGCAAGGCTTGACGAAGGAGAAGAGGTGTATTCTGAATGTGGGTGGAAGCGATTATTTCGGCTTGAGGATGACAGATGAGAGGGAAGGAATCAAGGTGTTTGAGAATACCACCATTCTATTCGGTAGAGTTCTAACACGATGTGATGATGGAGCAAATGTCAACTGATTGATTGTTGGCCGAATGAAAGAAATGGAGGCGTTTACTGAGAGAGACTAGGCATTAGACGAATATACGTGAATACACAGTCGAAGTGGAAATCATTAACCACGGGAATGATGTGATTTTCAACAAGTGACAGTAACACTGTATACACCCACCCAACCACCCACCCACAGAGGAAGACTGAACACGCTCCAGACATCTCACGTGAACAGGCATACGCAGAGCGACGTGACGATATCCTGGAGGTCAAGTCAACCTCCTTACATAAAATGATGCATTTGTCGATTTCTAATTCGGATGCATGTGATTTTCACCTTCTTCAGAAGCTGCAGTTACCACGGCGAAGGAGATGGCGTCGGCTGTAGAAACCACGACACGTGAGTCCACTTCATTTCTCACCAATAACTGAAAAAGTCAGAGATACAGATAGAGTTGGATGAAGCGAGAGAAAGCGGGAGAGAGATAGAGGGAGAGAGAGAGAGCGGGAGAGAGATGGCGTCATTTGTCTGCAATGTGTCACTACTCGTGAGACTGAACTGGTGAGTAGTGACATCTGTGATTTGTGAACTGGGCGATGCAGTCAGTATGCAATCTGCAAGTTGATCGCAGTTCCGATAGTCACATCACACATGTTCTCGTCGTACATCTGTGTGCAAGGCTTGACGAAGGAGAAGAGGTGTATTCTGAATGTGGATGGAAGCGATTATTTCGGGTTGAGGATGACAGATGAGAGGGAGGGAATCAAGGTGTTTGAGAATACCACTATTCTATTCGGTAGAGTTCTAACACGATGTGATGATGGAGCAAATGTCAACTGATTGATTGTTGGCCGAATGAAAGAAATGGAGGCGTTTACTGAGAGAGACTAGGCATTAGACGAATATACGTGAATACACAGTCGAAGTGGAAATCATTAACCACGGGAATGATGTGATTTTCAACAAGTGACAGTAACACTGTATACACCCACCCAACCACCCACCCACAGAGGAAGACTGAACACGCTCCAGACATCTCACGTGAACAGGCATACGCAGAGAGGCGTGACGATACCTTGGAGGTCAAGTCAACCTCCTTACATAAAATGATGCATTTGTCGATTTCTAATTCGGATGCATGTGATTTTCACCTTCTTCAGAAGCTGCAGTTACCACGGCGAAGGAGATGGCGTCGGCTGTAGAAACCACGACACGTGAGTCCACTTCATTTCTCACCAATAACTGAAAAAGTCAGAGATACAGATAGAGTTGGATGAAGCGAGAGAAAGCGAGAGAGAGATAGAGGGAGAGAGAGAGAGCGGGAGAGAGATGGCGTCATTTGTCTGCAATGTGTCACTACTCGTGAGACTGAACTGGTGAGTAGTGACATCTGTGATTTGTGAACTGGGCGATGCAGTCAGTATGCAATCTGCAAGTTGATCGCAGTTCCGATAGTCACATCACACATGTTCTCGTCGCACATCTGTGTGCAAGGCTTGACGAAGGAGTAGAGATGTATTCTGAATGTGGATGGAAGCGATTATTTCGGCTTGAGGATGACAGATGAGAGGGAAGGAATCAAGGTGTTTGAGAATACCACTATTCTATTCGGTAGAGTTCTAACACGATGTGATGATGGAGCAAATGTCAACTGATTGATTGTTGGCCGAATGAAAGAAATGGAGGCGTTTACTGAGAGAGACTAGGCATTAGACGAATATACGTGAATACACAGTCGAAGTGGAAATCATTAACCACGGGAATGATGTGATTTTCAACAAGTGACAGTAACACTGTATACACCCACCCAACCACCCACCCACAGAGGAAGACTGAACACGCTCCAGACATCTCACGTGAACGAGTATACGCAGAGCGACGTGACGATATCCTGGAGGTCAAGTCAACCTCCTTACATAAAATGATGCATTTGTCGATTTCTAATTCGGATGCATGTGATTTTCACCTTCTTCAGAAGCTGCAGTTACCACGGCGAAGGAGATGGCGTCGGCTGTAGAAACCACGACACGTGAGTCCACTTCATTTCTCACCAATAACTGAAAAAGTCAGAGATACAGATAGAGTTGGATGAAGCGAGAGAAACGGAGAGAGAGAGAGCGGGAGAGAGATGGCGTCATTTGTCTGCAATGTGTCACTACTCGTGAGACTGAACTGGTGAGTAGTGACATCTGTGATTTGTGAACTGGGCGATGCAGTCAGTATGCAATCTGCAAGTTGATCGCAGTTCCGATAGTCACATCACACATGTTCTCGTCGCACATCTGTGTGCAAGGCTTGACGAAGGAGAAGAGGTGTATTCTGAATGTGGATGGAAGCGATTATTTCGGCTTGAGGATGACAGATGAGAGGGAAGGAATCAAGGTGTTTGAGAATACCACTATTCTATTCGGTAGAGTTCTAACACGATGTGATGATGGAGCAAATGTCAACTGATTGATTGTTGGCCGAATGAAAGAAATGGAGGCGTTTACTGAGAGAGACTAGGCATTAGACGAATATACGTGAATACACAGTCGAAGTGGAAATCATTAACCACGGGAATGATCTTATTTTCTACAAATGACTATAAGGATTTATACATCTTCTTACGCACCGAGGTACACTTAACTCCTTCCGGACATTCAATGTGAAAATATATACGGATAGCCACTTTTCTTTTGCCGTGGCTTTCTTCCTGGTTTACGCATATCTTTTTATCTCTGTATATCTCATATTTTCAATCGTCTCATCCGCTGAACTCTCTTCTTTCTAATTTGCTTGTCTCTACATTCGGGTAACAACAGTGTGTTTTGTTACTTCCCTCTAGGTTACTATTTCGGATTATTGTTTCACACACAGACTAAATAACTGAGGATTCTCTTCTCTACGCAGCTCATTTTTCAAAATTTGCGCGATATTTTAAAATATGAAATATTTTCTGAACCAAAGCTTTTCAGCTGTTATGAATGAATCAGATTATTAGGAATGCATCCACTGCATTCAGTCACATGGAAGTCATATCTTTCGTTGTCCGCGGTGTTCCCTGGATAATTCACTGCTGTCTGTTTTTACGATGCAGTGATTCTTGAATGTGGATCTAGTGAGGAAATGTCATTAATACAAATACCGATAAGTCTAGTATGAATCAACAGTTCTCGTCATCAGTGATGTGATGTAACTCAGATAGTTGTTTTATTCTAGTCTCGAAAACTGCCTGTGTATCTATTCTGGTAACATTTTCTCTCAAAACGTAGCAAACGAACCTGTGTGAGAGTGCCTCAGTCTCATTTCTAATTATCTCATCGTTTGAGGCACTATGGGAATATCGTTATTGCCTTCATGAGAGCCACTGTAAACTGTTATACTCTTTCTTCACCAAGGTCATATATATATAAGTGTATCGCATCATAGATTTCCGTATTTCCGCTATGTTACTGCCTTTTCACGTCAAATATTTCCTACTAGCTTTCATATCCGTTGAGTTTTCGTGCAATGTTTCGATTGAATATTTTAAATTTCATTCTTAGAATAACAACAGAGTTTCAAAATAGACACTAGCTAAAAGGATGCTTCTATAACGGATTAAACCCAGTGTGTGTATGTATTATACTGAGCACACAATTGTTCTTGGACAGATATTCGAGTTTGTAAATTCGTTATGGTGTTATGGGACTTAAATAACACTAAACGCAAGGAGGAGAGGCATGATATTGGTTTATTCCTAGTGGGGGGGAATAGTTGAGGATGGACTAAAAGAAAAATAATTTGTCATCGTCTTGCTCTAAATCGCTATCCGGTTGCATCAGTTTTATTATGCCATGTGCTTTGAGGTGATATTTCAAGAATTATTTTCGATAGAAATTGGAAACTTGTTAGCCACTGTGAACATTATCAACCATTGCTTTTGTCTGCTTTATTAGTCACTCTACTGCCACAAAAGAAAGTTGAAATTTATAGTACTGCATATCTTGAAGTCAATGCTGAGAGAGGTAAGTCTTCAGTAATTTGATATTTGTCGTTGAAGTAGGCATAATTTGCGTGTATAATGATCTTAGAAAACACATCAGTTTGTTCATTATTTCATAACGTCTAGATAAGATTCATTATAAATTATTTAAATTAATCCCAGCGTGTAAAGAAAATCAAAACAAGCTTTTTCTGAACGTTTCGCTGTGTAAGCCACAGCTTCTTCAGCAGATTTATTATCAATTATTATTATAAATCTGCTGAAGAAGCTGTGGCTTACACAGTGAAACGTTCAGAAAAAGCTTGTTTTGATTTTCTTTACACGCTGGGATTAATTTAAATAATTTATAATGAATCAATCTGACTCGGCGCTCAAATTATTCCAGGAAGTTCATAACACCTACGGCCTGGAAACCTATAGTCTGGATAAGATGTTTGTGATAAAACAGACTGCTGAGTGTTGTTTCGTGTAACAATAAATGCAACCTGATCTGATACTACTGCTTTAGTTCATGACTAGAAGCAGTTAGTTGACACGGAATACAAAGACTAGGCTTCGTGCATACACGGAATCCAAGCGAACTAACCTCACGTCAATGGTTCAGTGGTAGAACGTTGTCTAATCGTCCACACCTAAACTTGAATCATCCTGTGCTGCGCACGTTAAATAGGAGAGCTTCGGCATAGGGCTTGAAACCACAAGCAGTTAATTATACCACTACTACTGAATCTTCATAGCTCCAGCTTCAAGCTGTATGTTCCACTCAAAACACAGCGGATCACAGAAATGCACTTGTTAACAGGTTGTATTGCCAGACTTGGTAAACATCATGTTCACTTCAGACACTAGTGCTAACTGATTTCTTTAAATGTCGAAAAACACAATACATTGCATCATAATCCACAGCAGTACTGTGCTGCCTGAGTATGCTCCTTCCAACGGTGAGAATCGACAGTTAAATTTATAATTATGTGGGAATGGATTGACAAATCTGGCTAAATGAATGTGGACAACAGCTCCTTTCATTTTGTGTTTGATTTCAATGATATTTTTAACAGAACTATACTGCTTCCAGACAAGTGGTTTCGATTTTCAAACTGACTGTATTTTTTAAATAGTAAGTAGAAGAAAAGGCTTCAGTGAAGCGGAAATATTTTCGAACATGTTGTTCTCAAGCTGAACGATCGCATATGTACGCTGAATGTTCTTAGCAAGGAAAGGAATAGTTGCAAATATGTGATAAGAAAATTGTTAATTTCAGATAAGCAGTTAGGTAATATAGAAAGTGTTAAATGGGTAGAAACTGAAATGAAATAAAATAAGTTAATTGAGTGACGCAATAAAATTGAAAGGGTTGAATGGAATTTAAGCGAAATTGAAGCACAGTCAGGTTTGGATTACAATAGACATGTACTGATTCACCCACTCGTGTGGAGATAGGGATGTCGGCCGCACCCAGAGTTCGCTATCCAAATCTATTATCTGACACTTACTCTCATGGTGGCTTGGAAGCAGAAATTTTAAGAAACCGCCCTTTTAATTGTCTGAAGAAGACATTTCAAGCAGGCACCTTGCGTATCACATTCGCCAGCAGACAGTTAATCCAGTTGAACGTTAAGGACAGGATACGGCTTTCGACCACCTCAATGTGCATTTATCAGTTGACTTACTGGTGGGGAGCAGAGCATATCGACCCTGAGCAACGTCAAGTCCATAAACGTATTCTGAGATGTTTTTCAGCTTGGTTAGCCAGGGGAGAAAAGAAGAATAATAGCAGCTGCATCATCGAATATCTTGCCAGCTCTGGACATCGTGCATCCACGCACGAATGCATCACAATGCTACATAGGATCACTCAGTATCGTACAAAAAAGCTTTCCATACCCCATCTGTACTTAGCTGAGTCACTGGCTATTCGGGATCTGAAACTGAACCTCTGCATTCAAAAGCGCCACATATATTCACTCGCCCAACCGTGGCCAGAGTAACGTTCTTACTATGACTTTGCTTCTTTTCATTATGTAAGTTTACCATTATTATTCTTATTATTGTTCCATTTTCGTTGTTATTTTCATATTTCATATTTTATTATCACTCTTCTACTTTCTATTGAGAACATTGCGTTTTCATACAGATTTTATGTAAAAACACTTTATCGCCCTTCCACTAGTTCCTGTCCACTCTACGCAATCATAATGATTAGTTATTTTCTCGCACTCACTACGTCGTGAAAACGTATGCCTCTTTTCTTACTTACAATAAGTCAATCCTTCTAGGTTACACCCTACATTACATAATACGTTTATCCAAAGACAAATTTCACCAGTGTCTCATTGGTTCTGTGATATTTTCTTTGTTAAATATAACAACTATTGTACATCTTATGAAAATGAATCATCGAAAAGAAAATTTTCTTCGCTGTCTCTTTCTTATGTCTCATGGCTTTATGAACGAAACAAAAGACTCCTCCGTCACGCCTCTATCCTGGAACGCCTCACGGAATATGGACACTAAGCTGGCCCAAAAATAACTTCAAAATTATCAACAAAGTAGGCGGGAATTTTATTTGCAGAGTGCTGATCAAATTCCTTCAAACTCCAGAAGCAATCACAGTTCACAGCGTAAATTCTCAACTCTGCATACAACAGAAGTTGCTTCAGTGCTAAATCTACACTGGACTACATCTCGCTTAACACTGGATAAGTAAATCGTATGTTGATTACTTCCTTATTGTGATATTTTCTCCCACCAACCCCTGCTAAATTTCTACCCCTTATAACCACTCTTGTCAACTTGATTCTCGATCAAATATCAGTTGAATGCTACTCAACCCACTCAGTTATATTGAGTCACTCAATCTACTTATTTTATTTCATTTCAGTTTCTACCCAATTAACGCTTTCTACATTGCCTAACTGGTTATCTGAAATTTCCAGTTCAAATGAAACATCTTGGCAAATATCCTTTTCGCTGCTTAGAATATTCAGCTTACATATGCGATCGTTCAGCTGGAGAACAACATGTTCGAAAATATTTCCTCTTCACTGAACGAGTTTTCCTTAATATGACTCATTGGTTATTTTTAAATTGTGAAGAGCTGAACAAAATTTCACTACCAGGTTCCAGTAGCTATGGAAGCCTGTGAAAGTTTCTGCCTCCTTGTTGCCATTACTTCACTTGTAAATTAATTAGCTTTTGAAATCATCATAACTGTATTTTAGGCTAATAGATCTGAATAATTCTAACAACAATGAAGACAGTATCCTAATCCAAAGTTTTAATTCTCGATCTTCACTAACACTTCCTTGTGAAATTGTTTGTTTCAGGAAGACGTAGAGCATTCTGGCTTCTTCAAGAAAAGACAGACTCCCTAGTATTCGGATGGAATCGATTCGATGAAAAAGGCATTTCAAAGCTGACTTTGGAACGAGTAATACACTGGGCCTTTGATGATACTTTGGATCTAGCCTTGGTTGATATATCAGAATTCAATGTAATTGGGGGATCATGCGTAGCTGAAACTTATAATATACTTGCAAAGTCGTCAGGCGTATTTCGTTACTATGAGGCGGCGAAGAGGAGTCTCAATTACAAACGAGGTGAGTAGATTTTGTGCTTCGAACATTCGTGAACATACAACAGTCTATAGTTGATACGAAATAGTAAAATATTTACCTGGATGAGTGAATAAAGTGGAAATCAAATGAGTAAATATTGGATCCTTTACGCAACCGGTAGATACTGGACATTCAGGAAAACAGAAGAGACGTTCTCGGTCATCCACGACTTCTCGGAAATCTATCTAGATGGGCTACACAACATCTCCCATCAGTAGTTGAAGCGTTAGTAATCAGTACTAGAAGACCCAATGACTGTATACCGAGGAAGCATGTCCTACCGCTGTGTTTACCATGGCCGACAGTAAGATCAACAAATCATCCGAAAACATCGGCATTTTAAATTCCTGTCCAACACTTTTCTCTTTTTTTTCATTTACAGTCGTCTATTTAAGATCTTCTACTACCTAACGGTCATATTGTGTGTATCAATTCAGGTTCACGCAATTCTATTCAAACGTGAAATTATATTTACACAATAGTGTTCATTGCACTTGATTAAATTCAAGTATCATCTGATAAACGTGTGCTGACAAGACGTTTGAGCTGACACCAGCCCATCATTATTTTTTCATTAATATTGTTGTCCAGTTTATTGCATTTGTTGCTCTCTTTTCCTGTTGTATTCATGTTATCTCACACATCCCTGACTACAATCACCTTTGAGGACTGCACGTTCGCTGGCTAAGTAGATACTCACATCACTGAATTACTTCATCTCATTCTATCTCATAGTCATTTCGACCGTACGTATTCTAAATGGCAATCAGGACTCACTGAACACTACTTTCAATCCGTATTGTGCTTGTTCCACTCAATGCATTTTCCGAATTATTCCAATCACGCATTGCTGACAGTATTGTATGCTAAAATGAGTGGATTTATCTATGAATCGCCTGAAGGATAGTTCATTGAAAACCACTGTTCACCGTACTTATTCTTCTCCCGAATAAATTATGGGGACACTGAACAAAAGACAACAGGATGAAACTTGTTTTGGTACAAGTGAAACAGATGTCCGAAAATTATCGACTCTAGAAAGCCTACAATCCCAGCTGATATTTAGATACTTTGGAAGTGGTAAAAGCGTTGTGATTCATCTAAACTTTCTTTCCTGTTCCGCTTCAATCACTAATGGTAATACTAATATCCACCTTGTACCCTATCGCCTTGTGAATGTTCACAATTTTCTCTCCATTTTCAGCTCCGAGAATTGCAAAAGTTGAATTTGAACCTGCGTCAAACAAAAATCAATTGGTGAAATGGACGTTGCAAGGTTCTCCATGCCATTCTGAAGATAGTATGATCATGTTCGAAGGACTAACTGATCAACCTCTCGAAATGACCATTCTTCCTATCGAAAGTACAGCATCTAGGAAAACCAGAAATTCGAAGGACGTTGTCATCATTCTCGCAGCTTTGCATGACGGAAGATTCTCTCTACCGACTTTAGGTAAGTATTTAAATAATTAGTAAAATTGTATCTGAAGCCTAAAATCATTTCAATTATACTATTAGCTATGATATAGTTAGTTAGTGTGCATAAGGCGTAACTTCGGTGAGTACAGTATAGCAGAATGATTTCCCCTCAGATGTACATAATCAATACACTCCTGCTAAAATGGTGAGCATTCTTCTAAAATGAAATCGATTGTAACGAATACCACTGAGAAACGAAATGTAGAGAGAGAGAGACAGAATCAGTAAAAATGGAAACGTTAATTAAGGTAACATATAGAAAAGCGAATAAGTGTTGGTGTACTGGTATGTGAATGGTTACAAGACTGACCACTAATTGTCAACAGTTGAAGAGCTGTTAGGGAACCAGGAAGTAATGGACAGCTGTTTCCTCCTAGTTTGGAAGTGTCGACCAGTACACACTCATCAGAGTTTGAACTGGGACCTTCTGGTTACTGAACTCTCACGCCTCCACATTCTCCTGTGTTTAATGTCAACTCGTGATCAGTCAAACCCCTACAAGCCAAAATCTCAAAATTATTCTGAAGGTCACAGATAAATACCTCGCCTAAAATTAAAAGCTGAAAGACAACAAACAGCATAAAACGCAGTAAAATTGAAAGGCACCACAAATAGCAGCAACGAGAATCGAACAAGGCTATCAAATGTGAGAAAATTGAAACAGAAATGGCCACAAAGCAAAAACGAAAACAATCATGAAAGAAACCTGAACTTAGCAATCTAATGGAGGGAAAGAGATAGAAGAGTGAAAATATAAGCTGGAAAAAAAGAGCGAAAATTGTAGTGAGGCGACTGGCCATATTCAGGTAGATAGTTACCTGCGGTTCCGGTGGGAAGTCATGAAAGTAGGGTGCAGCAGGTCGGGTTTGCGAACAAATACTAGCCGAAGATATTGGCTAGCAGTTACGCTGTATCGCCAATTGGCAGAAGTTAGAATTCATTGGCCATTGGATAGGAACCCAAAGGATAAATAGTATAAGAGCTCGCCTTGTAACCAGAAGGTCCTGCGTTCAAACCCCGGTGGATGGGTACGGCTGAAGAGTCCCAAACTAGAACGAAAGAGCTGTCCAATACCCCCAGGCTTTCCAATGATTATTTAAACAATGTAGGCTCATGTTGAAATCCAGTAAACAATCAACGAAATCCCTACAAAAGAATATTTGAATAGTCAAAATCATGTGCATGAAAATCTCCGACAGAAAGACTATAGTAGTGTTGCATAGGACTAAGTCAAAGAAATCAGAGATACGACTTCACAGATTATAAAATAAAGAAAGTTCTAATGACGTTTCATCTAGCAGCACAAATCAAAACAGAAAACTAAGAAGAACCAGAAAACAAAGAGTGGACAAAGAAGAGAAGCGAAAAACCAGAATAAGCACCGAATGACAACTATCAAAATTGTCATAATCAGAGGAAGATATACACAAAAATGCACAGTAAAATAACAAACAAAGTGAAAACTTGAACGAAATTAGTCAAACGTTTTCACAAAGAAAGAAAGAACAACAAATAAAATAACACTGAATAATGAAAAAAGTGGCGAAAAACAAAAAGAAATACCTCAAAATGGGTTAGTAGCAGATTATCACAAGTAACACCGACCGCGACAAGCATAATCTCTCCAAGAGTACTTGTTTGCTGTATCCTATGTGAGTGGGTGATCGCACTCACTGAATCACCACTCGACAACAGTCCACATCTCAGCCGAAATCACCATCAACAAATGTCAGACACGCTTGACATTCACCTGACACAATCTCTTTCCTCACAATAAGGATGAGTGTAGTGTATATTGATTTACACAAAGCCAACTCACTCACTACACTTGCCACAATGCTTTCTTTTTCAGAATCCCCACAGACGTCAAAAATCGAGGAGGAGGAAGTCAAGTCGGCGTCGTCAGGTGAGTTCGTTTAACTTTCACTCATCTCACTTGTTAAGGGATTGTATGCAAGTATACTCTCCATATTTTATTCGGGGTAGTATTGATGGGTTTGCGGCAAGTGTTTCCTCTTATTTCCGGCATCGTCCACTCTACATCTAGTTTCTATTCATTTTTGATCCTTTAAATGAATTTAGTTGTGTGAGAGATAAATAAGGGTAGTTATAATCAAAATAACGGAAATAAACTGCAAGAAATATATTCAAGCAAATAAAAATACAAAGAGGTATTTCAGCGTCAAAATATCTTGTTCTCCATGTACTCTGATTATGATACCGACTACACGTGTTGAGCTGTACACGAACGTTAGTGTTTCTCCTGCCACTGTCAAAATACTCGTCCTCCTGAGACGAGAGACGAGTCGAAACAATAAATTGACTGTTCAGATTACGAGACATATATTTCGGGATCAGGAAGATTGAGTGACGAAGCCGATACCGAAGAAATAAACCTCAATGATTTTTGAACTAATACAATTACATAGAAGTTCTTTAAGAAACTTAGAATGATGGAAAGCAGTTTGTGGACTAGTGAAGCTAAAATACAATACAGTAGTGAATTAGCCAAAGAAAGCATACGTTTATGTAAATAAGCATTGATTGAGGGAGAAATAATTATATTCAGAAACCAGGTAGAACTTGAGCAGCGAGGATCTGAAGAAATAAGCATAGCTAAGTCCAGCATAACATAAACCCAAAACACACTACCTTTTTGTGGCACAACTGCTTATTCTAAAAATGATGCACGATAATAGAGAAATGCATACGTTACTTTGCAATCTCCATCTCCACATGTCCTTAGTGCAGTGTTTCTGCTACTTTAGTCTTTCATTCAAAATTTCTATATTCTTACACAAAATACTTTTCATTCCTCCTCTTCGCCAATAAACCCAGTGATGAAATACTCAGTATACTTGCAGGAGATACACTACATACTGAATCATTTCAGTAGCCTACAAGGATGTCAGGGATCTGATAAAATATTAGAGAATCGGTTTGATTGACTGAAAATGAAACGTTGTGTACATAAATAGAGATAGTAACATGCATTAATTAAACCAGGATACACTTTTTTTAGGTAGCCGGGAAGAACTTGAAATTCAAGCAGAAGCGGAGGAAGAAGACAAAATTATCGGTGGTGAGTCCACAATGCCAACGGTGAACTGACTGATTGAGATAACTAGAAGATATAAAACGGTAGTATTTATTATTGATGGTCCTGCCACTGAATTCCACCCCGGTGAAGCTATAGTCTACGAACTTTCCTTGTAGCTTGAAGCCACTGATTTCGATTCTTGGAGTGGTTATGTCTGCATATTGCTTGATAGTTCAAAAGAAGGAAAAAACCGATTTAAGTTACTCCTTGTTTCACAATAGTTCCCCAAGGGCAGCCAGTTTCTCATGAAACATCAGAAAAAATATGATATGCATGTTGGGCGCATAGGCAGAATAATGAACTGATGAACCAACAGGTCTATTTATAATTTTGCAAAGGTCAATGGGTTGGCGTATAGTATACATAACTGTACGTGACATTCCAAGCATTCAAAACATCCAATGGCTTCAAAGAATACGAAAGGATAGTCAAAAAACAACTAACGACAGACAAATAACGGAAAACATAATTATGAGTAAAATAAAAACGATCATTATACTATGAGCAAAACTCAGAGAAGTGATGAAAATCACAAAGCAAAACAAGAAAAATAAGGAAAACCGAAGAAGAAATAGTCATAAGAAAACACAGAGGAGATACAAAAAATTTAATATCACAGATTAAACGAGAAAAGAAGCAATCAAAAGAAATCTTTTAAAAAGCGAATGAAATTAAATCATACCAATGAATGTGAAAATAAAATCATAAGCAGCTCGAGATACCACAGCGAAAAAAATGAGGTGCACTGCAGAAACCAATAAACGTGAGTCCACTTCATTTCTCACCAATAACTGAAAAAGTCAGAGATACAGATAGAGTTGGATAAAGCGAGAGAAAGGGAGAGAGAGAGAGAGAGCGGGAGAGAGATGGCGTCATTTGTCTGCAATGTGTCACTACTCGTGAGACTGAACTGGTGAGTAGTGACATCTGTGATTTGTGAACTGGGCGATGCAGTCAGTATGCAATCTGCAAGTTGATTGCAGTTCCGATAGTCCCATCACACATGTTCTCGTCGTACATCTGTGTGCAAGGCTTGACGAAGGAGTAGAGGTGTATTCTGAATGTGGGTGGAAGCGATTATTTCGGCTTGAGGATGACAGATGAGAGGGAAGAGAATCAAGGTGTTTGAGAATACCACTATTCTATTCGGTAGAGTTGTAACGCGATGTGATGATGAAGCAAATGTCAACTGATTGATTGTTGGCCGAATGAAAGAAATGGAGGCGTTTACTGAGAGAGACTAGGCATTAGACGAATATACGTGAATACACAGTCGAAGTGGAAATCATTAACCACGGGAATGATGTGATTTTCAACAAGTGACAGTAACACTGTATACACCCAGCCAACCACCCACCCACCGACACAGGAAGACTGAACACGCTCCAGACATCTCACGTGAACAAGTATACACAGAGCGACGTGACGATATCCTCGAGGTCAAGTCAACCTCCTTACATAAAATGATGCATTTGTCGATTTCTAATTCGGATGCATGTGATTTTCACCTTCTTCAGAAGCTGCAGTTACCACGGCGAAGGAGATGGCGTCGGCTGTAGAAACCACGACACGTGAGTCCACTTCATGAACGGAAACAATTATGATAGAAACCTGAACTTAGCAACCTAATGAAGGGAAAGAGATGGAAGAGTGAAAATATCAGCTGGACCAAATAACAGCGAAAATTCTAGTGAGCAGTAGTCAAAATGTTGTGCGTGAAAATCTCCGGCTGAAAGACTATAGTTGTGTTGCATAGGACTAAGTCAAAGAAATCAGAGATACGACTTCACAGATTATAAAATTAAGAAGTTCTAATGACGATGCATTAAGCAGCTCAAATCAAAACAGAAAACAAAGAGTAGACAAAGAAGAGAAGCGAAAAACCAGAATAAGCACCGAATGACAACTATCAAAATTGTCATAATCAGAGGAAGATATACACAAAAATGCACAGTAAAATAACAAACAAAGTGAAAACTTGAACGAAATTAGTCAAACGTTTTCACAAAGAAAGAAAGAACAACAAATAAAATAACACTGAATAATGAAAAAAGTGGCGAAAAACAAAAAGAAATACCTCAAAATGGGTTAGTAGCAGATTATCACAAGTAACACCGACCGCGACAAGCATAATCTCTCCAAGAGTACTTGTTTGCTGTATCCTATGTGAGTGGGTGATCGCACTCACTGAATCACCACTCGACAACAGTCCACATCTCAGCCGAAATCACCATCAACAAATGTCAGACACGCTTGACATTCACCTGACACAATCTCTTTCCTCACAATAAGGATGAGTGTAGTGTATATTGATTTACACAAAGCCAACTCACTCACTACACTTGCCACAATGCTTTCTTTTTCAGAATCCCCACAGACGTCAAAAATCGAGGAGGAGGAAGTCAAGTCGGCGTCGTCAGGTGAGTTCGTTTAACTTTCACTCATCTCACTTGTTAAGGGATTGTATGCAAGTATACTCTCCATATTTTATTCGGGGTAGTATTGATGGGTTTGCGGCAAGTGTTTCCTCTTATTTCCGGCATCGTCCACTCTACATCTAGTTTCTATTCATTTTTGATCCTTTAAATGAATTTAGTTGTGTGAGAGATAAATAAGGGTAGTTATAATCAAAATAACGGAAATAAACTGCAAGAAATATATTCAAGCAAATAAAAATACAAAGAGGTATTTCAGCGTCAAAATATCTTGTTCTCCATGTACTCTGATTATGATACCGACTACACGTGTTGAGCTGTACACGAACGTTAGTGTTTCTCCTGCCACTGTCAAAATACTCGTCCTCCTGAGACGAGAGACGAGTCGAAACAATAAATTGACTGTTCAGAATACGAGACATATATTTCAGGATCAGAATTATTGACCGAATAAATAAACAAAATTCTTTCCATTCCTTCTCTTCGCCAATAAACCCAATGATGAAATACTCATTATACACAACGGAGACAAACTACATACTGAATCATTTCAGTAGCCTACAAGGATATCTGGGATGTGTTGAAATGTTAGAGAATCGGTTAAACTGTCTGAAAATGAAATCTTGTATACATAAATATAAGAAGTATCTTGCATTAATTAAACCAGGATACATTTGTTTCAGGAAGCCGGGTAGAACATCAAAGTCAAGCAGACGAGGAGGAAGACGGCGAAATAATCAGTGGTGAGTCCAGAATGCTAGTGATGAACTGACTGATCGAGTTTGCTAGTTGATATACGAAGGTAGTATTTATAATTGACGGTCCTATCACCGACTTCACTCGAATAAATACAAAGACTCAGATATTTGTTCAGAGTGTGAAGCTACCGAGTTATTTCTACGGATGTTAAAATCTGAATATTATATAAAATATAAGAAAAACAAGCGGAGCATTTCAAGTTCCTCATTATTGAAAAAACAGCATCCTCGCATTCAGCATGGTTTAAAACATGAGAAAAAAAAGACAAATTGCAAAGAAGAACAGAAAATAATCATATTCCATGTGTTAAAAAACACCAAGTGACGATAAGATAGAAAAACAGACAGAGAGGAAGATGGCGTCGTTTGCCTGCAATGTGTCACTACTCGTGAGACTGAACTGGTGAGTAGTGACATCTGTGATTTGTGAACTGGGCGATGCAGTCAGTATGCAATCTGCAAGTTGATTGCAGTTCCGATAGTCCCATCACACATGTTCTCGTCGTACATCTGTGTGCAAGGCTTGACGAAGGAGTAGAGGTGTATTCTGAATGTGGGTGGAAGCGATCATTTCGGCTTGAGGATGACAGATGAGAGGGAAGAGAATCAAGGTGTTTGAGAATACCACTATTCTATTCGGTAGAGTTGTAACGCGATGTGATGATGAAGCAAATGTCAACTGATTGATTGTTGGCCGAATGAAAGAAATGGATGCGTTTACTGAGAGAGACTAGGCATTAGACGAATATACGTGAATACACAGTCGAAGTGGAAATCATTAACCACGGGAATGATGTGATTTTCAACAAGTGACAGTAACACTGTATACACCCAGCCAACCACCCACCCACCGACACAGGAAGACTGAACACGCTCCAGACATCTCACGTGAACAAGTATACACAGAGCGACGTGACGATATCCTCGAGGTCAAGTCAACCTCCTTACATAAAATGATGCATTTGTCGATTTCTAATTCGGATGCATGTGATTTTCACCTTCTTCAGAAGCTGCAGTTACCACGGCGAAGGAGATGGCGTCGCCTGTAGAAACCACGACACGTGAGTCCACTTCATTTCTCACCAATAACTGAAAAAGTCAGAGATACAGATAGAGTTGGATAAAGCGAGAGAGAGAGAGAGAGCGGGAGAGAGATGGCGTCATTTGTCTGCAATGTGTCACCACTCGTGAGACTGAACTGGTGAGTAGTGACATCTGTGATTTGTGAACTGGGCGATGCAGTCAGTATGCAATCTGCAAGTTGATTGCGGTTCAGATGGTCATATGGCATATTTTCTTGTCTTGGATGTTTGTGGTAGATTTGTTGATTGATAAGAATTTTTTCTGATTATCTCTAATTGAGTTTTTTTCTTTTATGCCTACCTATCCTCTGTGGCATTTTTTCTTCTTTATTTTGCCCATATTTTCTTCTTCGTTTATTTTGTTTATATCAGGCTCTCTATTTTCGCTGTGTGTTCTGTAATCTTAACTGTTTTCAAAATTTTTTGAATTTACCCTCCTCTTAGTTTTCTTCTTTCCATCTTTTCACCTTAACAGACTTATCTTTCACACACACTCCTCTGCGTGGTGTATGTGAAATCTTAATCTGACGCATGCCCTTCTGAGATTCAAGTCGACTTCTCACAGTCTTGCAGTATGAGATATTACCACTGAGCGATTCTGTTTCGCGACTGACCTCCTGTATGACTATTTTGTATACTATCAAGTATCTTGTGACTATAGCTTGTTAACTGTAGACTGAATTCTAGCAGTCAAATTTGCAATGAAATAAAAATAACCGTACATGAGTTAATTCGCCAGACCGGCCAGCTCAGTGGTAACGCCTTCCATTCCAGCACTGGGTGACGCTCGTTTAAGTCTAGGAAGAGATATGGGTTCCCTCAAAATTCCATATACACCTTGCTGACGAGCACCAAAAAGGATGAAACTTAGTTTCAAGGCTTCCTGCCGATTACCTCCAACCATCTAACAACAACACGTTTGAGTGGAACTGGTTTACGAGCTACCTAGCATGTTGACCACATTTCAAACTTGACTGATAGAATTCAGTCAGCAGTAATCAAAGGACTAGACACATGACACCAATAAGTGTCCTATCAGAGTACGTGTTTTTATCGTCCTTTACTAGTAATTCAAATTTTTATCTTGTTTTCAACTAAGTTGACACTGCAACAATGATGTTTTCCTGAACGAATGTTCACTCCATTCTAAACAGATTTCGCATGACTTCAACATTACTCATCTGATCAACATTCTTCCCGAAATAATGAATTGTGGTATATCACTTGCAACTTGTGTCTCTCATATTTACATTTGTTAAGATCACATAGTTCGCCTTCTGAATTAATGACGTTATCAGACCTCTAGATGACTGAAATAGGAGTCTGTGTGAATACTGTCGACGTGCTTGGAAAACTCAAAAATCTGCAGCTGTCATTATTAAAACGACAACGAGCGACACTGACGAAATCCTGTCATCCACCGGGAACACGAGAAATGAAGGAATGCTAGTCGTTAAATACTGAAGTATGAGTTGTTACAAGTCGATTTGGATTCAACCACCCATGACTACTTTCGATAACAGAACATTATGTCAATTAAGCAACTTCCTAGTTACAGCAAATCTACACTGAGGTTTATTCAACGCTGATAGAGAACTAATAATTCTCTTATTAGCAGATTTCAATAAGAGAGATTTCAGTGTATTGAGGATGCCTGTATATCATAATGAAATCTGATAGTGCTGTATTTCGTCAAGAACTACGATGCAATTAATACAAAGTTGTCAGGAGCTAATTGATTACAGCTTTGGAATTGGCTTATTTACATATTTATGCTATTCGATATATGGTGTTGTTTACATACATACACACAAACATACATCAACGCTTTGGCGTCAGACGTGATGACTGCAGTCCCGAAATATTTCCTCAATTCAACTAAAGTGTTAACTACAAATTTTCCTTTTTTTATTTAGACTTACTCCTTCGAGTGAGCGGCAGTTCATCTAACAGTATTCATATTGGTGAGTTCGTAAAGCATTTACCGATATATTTATATATATACATTTGGGGTTCTTCTTCAAACATCTATTCATCCATTGATTTAGTGCATGTATATTGAACACTGTGATTTATTTTCACTGATTCAATTTTATTTTTATGAATAATGTGACATTCACTGTCAACACGAGTCATCAGTATTCCACGGAGCATCCATGCAGCGTCTGTGCATTCAACAAGCACTTCTCAATTCTCTGATATGTCAATTGAAATTCAACAACTGAAACTTTGAAAGTCTGAAAAGAGAAAACAAAGAGTTTCTTGTTTACTTCTTCGTGCCACCTTCAGTTCCACAAAATTTGATATTGTTAAGCATATTTACTCACTTTCCTGACGTATTCAGAATGAAATTATTGTCATCTTGCTACGAATTACATTCATCTTCTCAAATGATCAACCACTGTCATCAAAAATGATATTTTTCATACATTTGGTTCCCTTGATAAATTTCGATAGAGAAAGAAAGACCAGATTTGCAATATAAAATGATATCATTCTATTTCACAGGTTCTCATCAGCTGCAGCCGATATCATTTTATACTGCAAATCTGGTCTTTCTTTCTCTAACGAAATGATATTTTTAAGATCTGGTGATAGATGATCTAGAATTGGGAATTTATGAAATTCCTGTCCATCCCAGATAGAGCTAACGAGATCATTATGATTGACTGACAATAAGTCAGACTGTTGTATTTTGCGAGGCGTACATAAATGTACACAAAAATGTGTTTAATGATGAGTAATTCATCTGTATCCATTCGAATATTAAATGTGGATTGAAAACAACTATGAAACTATATTGGGAGGAGTTTAGAGGTGAATAGACTCTTCCATATCATGTAATTAACAAACAAAATTCCAACGAATTCAACAACTAGAAAGTGTATACATTCTGTGAACTATTGTCTCCGAAGTAACTCCGAAGCTGATGAACCCGATGATACTGATTATGTGTAGTGATCACTTGGTCAGACTATCTACCTTCCATTGGACACACATACTTCCATGTGATCAAGTATCGCTAACAGCGAACAAAACGAAGAAGATAATTACAATCAACAGGACGGTTGAGTGCTCGTTGTGTTGTCCTCAAATTCATAACTAGCCTCACCACAATGATAGTTTATTTCATTGAAATGAATCTGCAATTCGTATAGCAATATAGGATGCTTTATGATTACACACCTCCCTTTTGTCCATGAGGTATTTTCAAGCATTTACATGATGGAATCATTATCATGCTCTACAGTTGTCCAGAATTCCAGGTAGAATAAATAGTGTGGGAGGACGTGAATTTAGGGAGATGGAAGCCGTCAGTGAGAGAAAATATAAGAGAAAAAATGTTCAGCGAAGAGTATATCTTTTCGGTGATATCATCCTCAAGCTTCAAAATCGCAAATGAATAGTAAATTTGTTAGCAACAAATGCAATATATGCCAAGATGTTTCATTTGAACTGGAAATTTCAGATAACCAGTTAGGCAATGTAGAAAGCGTTAATTGGGTAGAAACTGAAATGAAATAAAATAAGTAGATTGAGTGACTCAATATAACTGAGTGGGTTGAGTAGCATTCAACTGATATTTGATCGAGAATCAAGTTGACAAGAGTGGTTATAAGGGGTAGAAATTTAGTAGGGGTTGGTGGGAGAAAATATCACTATAAGGAAGTAATCAACATACGATTTACTTATCCAGTGTTAAGCGAGATCAGGTCCAGTGTAGATTTAGCACTGAAGCAACTTCTGTTGTATACAGAGTTGAGAATTTACGCTGTTAGCTGTGATTGCTTCTGGAGTTTGAAGGAATTTGATTAGCATTCTGTAAATAAAATTCCCACGTTTTCTGTTGATAATTTTGAAGTTATTTTGCGGGTAGGCTTCGTGTTCTGATTCTATCAAGCCTTTCAGGATAAAAGTGTGGCGAGGGAATCTTTCTTCTCTTCTTTAGCGAATCATGAAGGTAAGTGTTCGATGATACGTTTGGATGAGGAATGCTGGGTACGGACGACATTCCTATCTCCACACGAGCAGGCGAATTGGCAGATGCACATTGCTGAACGCTTTTTCTTTTATATAACTCAACGGGGATTTTCAGTTTGATTAAACTTCGCAAAGATAATATAATCTAATTTGTAACACACTCCGTATTCCACTTACTTAGTCGGAGCATAATCGTTTCAGTTCAACTTGCTCCGGGATCTCCTAAAGTTATCCCACAGAGACCCCGATATCTATGATTTGTTCAACTGACTATATTGAACACAGGATGGAATGATTTAAGTCCTTTCGCATGATTTATGTACAGTGTTATTTAACGCCCGATTACTTCTGACCCACATTGTCTTCACTATCTGTTTCCTTGACAAAGACGAAGTTAAGCAACCACCGTTCAAGCATCACTCTTCAGTTCAATACCAGACCTTACCACATTTTCATTCAACATGTTTTACTTCCAGGAAGGTTAGTACCTTTCTCAAATCACAAGACTATTCTTGAAACAATATGACTGTTCTCTTTAAAGGGTATTAATAATTCGAGATGCAGTGTCCGTGCTTCAGTCTCACTTCAGAAATACTTTCACATGATTCTTCCTGAGAACCATTATCGAATTATCTGCCACAGATCGCTGTCACCAATGAACTCAACGAAACTGCATTACGTTTAATTCCTGTTAGTCTTTCAAACAGAACTTCCAATAAGTAGATCCAGTGTGCAAGATTCACTCCACATGTTGCTATTCGAATATGAAGTGCATGAAGATAGACACGTTTACATATAGACAGGTTATTTATATTCACCTGACGACTATAATTGAAGTAAGATTTTGTATGCACGTACCCACTAGCATCTATTCATATGTGAATGACCGTTTTCCGCTGAAATCTACTAGTGATGTTATTGAACGAAATCACTGTATTATATTTATTGATATGAAAGAATTTGTGATATGATGCTGTCGATTCACCACATGTGAAATTAAAAATGATCCAGTTTCTCTTTTGTCTTGATTCTCCTCCTCCAGGTACCATTGTAGCAATAGTACTCGTGTCAGTTTTGGCGATATTAACCATTATCTACTTCTCGTATAGACGATGGTGTAAACAGAAATTGGTGAAATAAATATTCTCCTCTCAGTGTTCATCAATAATGCTCACGATCATTGTAGTTAGCAAAGGCAACAAGACGCTTTTCAGTCGTCGACGTTTCTACATTATTTTCGTATCTGATTTCACTTAATTGCAACATATTTTAATGTAGTATTTATTTTACTTCATCAACGACAATTCACTCATCTCACTTATTCTCCCATGTGATTGCATTTGAGTCTGCGGAATTTAAATATGTTCAGAATTCCGAATGTTCCGAATCTCCTAAACATTTACTGAACATTGTGTTCACAACTTTTATTCATTCATATTTGTTATCAATTTGTAATTCATAATTAACTGCACAAAGATTATCGCAATGTTGTACTTTCACTCAGTGTCAAATTTTAACATGCATGCAAGACAAAACCAGTTGTTATTGTCTGTTGTCTGTGCACCAATGAAGATTATTGTCATACCAGCTTTTGTATTTCTCAATCAATAAAAACATAAATCAATATTGTTTCTACTGACTTCTCGCTATGTTGTTCATGGCTTTTTCAAGATAAAAGTAGATCAGAATTCACACAATCCAGCTTATATACAGTAACCTAATGGTAGTTATTCAGAATGAGGCAATTTTTAACTTCATCAAATGGGTGAATTATTAAACACAGCAAACCATTAGAAGATCGTTGTATCTCATAAGTGTATGAGATTATAACGAACGTCATGTGTTCACAGAATTAAAAAGCTCATGTTATTTGTGCTCATTTTGTCACTTCATCGGGTGGTGAGGAGTATTGGATCCAGGTTCAATTCTGTCTGAATCCGTAATTCCTATTCAGACAACTTGCATTCCACTTAATATTGAAGCGCTTCTTATTTCACCTCCTCTGTGCATATCCACCAGTTTGACTGCTCCTCTGAAACCAGTTAGATTGGCCACATAACTAGACTTGTCCATCATCGGATTTCCGAACAGCATCCTTCACGATTACACAAAAATCGTGAACAAGATCTATTCACAGCTCTGTTCTAGCACACCTTGTTTGTAGTGAGAGTAAAAGCGATACTAATAAAGCATGTAGAATTATTCATCGCATTCCTACTAATATTCATTTCATCTTGTGAGCTCGTCTTCTACATACAGATGAGATCATCGGAATCCACCTGAAGAAGTCAGCCAGATATGTGTGTTCAGAAGAAATTACTTCAGCTCCTTTCCGAGCCTCGGCCATCAGTACATGAATGTAAAAATTGAAAAATATTCCCTCCTACTAAGCCTTTCATAGATTATAGCTGTCATAATCACATTATTATTCCGAATACTTCATCTTTGATTGCTTGTTATGCAGTCAGTTTGAGCACACGTTTGCTTCCTAATTACTCGTCGAAGATCCTCAAAATGCACGTTGTGTAATCTACTGGTTCAAGCTTTCTTAAACATTTCCACCTTCCAATTGGAGCACTGCTTTTCTTGGTTGATTACCACCTCCATGACATGGTGATATTGACCAATTACTGCTGCAAGAAATGCCACTTATGAAGCGTGTGTCATCTTCCAGTTCCCCTTGCTCACTCTACTCAGTAGTCGGATAGAGGGTGGAAGTGAGTGACACAGAACTTACATTTTGTCTATCAGTGGGTAATTATAGCCAATGGAAATCCAACCAGGAGTAATACTCGACATTTTTCAATGTATTCGAGAATGAGGAGAACAGTTTAGAGAGTAGGCACCAGGTGAAAATTTGAGAGCAACATAAGCTGATATCACGCATTCGGTTCACGAACAACACAGTTAGTTTCTTCTCCTCACCAAAGTGAGGCAGGTTTGGGCGGTAATAACTACTCAGTCCATATTGCCTTCCATACACTGATACGTAATCGGAAGTAGCTGGTCTTAAGTCGGCGTAACCAAGAGTGAAAAAATGTATGCTGAATAACACACTTTACAGTTGGAAGGGTTGTGCTTCAGTTTTCGGAAGAATTCCCTAGGTACTGCTCCATAACATAGATAATAACGGTGTCACCAACAAATCATTCACGAAGGTAAGGTTGATTTGCCAGTCTGCTGTGAACAAAACTTTCAAGTCATGTCACCAAACAGTCTACTAGCAGTGAAGAAGTAGATGTCAGAACCACACCATATTTTTTCTCATGTATGACTGTTTGTTGAACTTGAATAAAGTGTTAGACGTGCTCACTGAATCAATGTTCACAATAAACTAAATGAGTTGAAACGGAGCTTGTTGTGCTGCTATATTTTGACTAAACTAGCGTACACGTATATCTTAGTACTTCTTCGCGTTTATGATTGTGTCCTAACGTTGCGATTACTCGACATCCACAACGTAATTCAAAAGGCACTTGCGAAGGAATACGATAGTGTATTATTGCAGCAATCAAAATTCAAAAGTCGAGCGAGTACAAAATTATCAATTGTTAACACGCAATCTTTAGAGTGATAAAGAAATCAAAGTCTAATTACATAGTGAAAGTATACTGTGATGATGAGTAATAAAACGGGTCACTACAAGCTCTTTGGTAGATGAGGTAGCTATTTAATATGTCTCAGTCACAGTTGAGAACATAGTTCTACAGGAATAGTTGAAGCCAGCAGTATACAGTGGAGGATCATCAAGGCTTATGCATTATTGTTTACTCATGTGATTATCGGTTAGACTGAGGAAATGAGATGTACGTATTTTCAACAAAACTACATGTTCAATGAACTGTGACAGTAGCACGCCCTATCTCCCACTTTACTGAGGACTCGTTGTGGAGGTGTCAAAATTCAATTCTATTTGCTTGGGATTGATGTGTTTCTAATCCTTGCCGACAACTGCTACTTTGCCGTGGTGGTCGGGCTTGAATACCGTAGTGACCCAACAAGCTTAACTGGCTGGGGCTCATGTTCTTGCGGGTTTTACCATGTCAGCAAGGTTGTTTCGATAGTGGTTAGACTAAAAGCAGTTACCATGGGGTACATGGACCCCAGAATCCAACCGGATCAAATGGCGTATGAACCCATATTAGTCACCGGGAACCATGTGAACGCAGCTCCTGACGCTGCTCCGCTGCTTGTGGATTAGACTCCAAGTCAACGGCTCGGGGGTGATTCCTTGAGAAAACCACTTGCTTCGGTCTGGGCACTCGGGTAGTACCTCAGCCCTCACACAATAAATGGAATGAAGCAACGAACTATCACTGAAACTTATCGTGCGCTCGTAACAATGCTTTCAAGAAGTAATGATGTCTCAAGCAACACATCTCTTTCCAACCTTACTTTTATTTTTATACATAGACTCCTGTATTTTACTCTCGCTAACCTTGACGTCTTCACCTTCGATAGCCTTTCGCCTTTGTCTGAATTCCCAGCCTATCTGTGTCGTTTCGAGTTGTTAGTGAGTAGCCTTCAAAATGGTTGTCCCCAACGCGACATCTAACACAGATATCCTGAAACCAAGTTCCACGTTCACTTGAACAGCCATGGTTGATCATTTTCACACAGATGAGGCTACTGGATTCGAAAGATCTCTTAATTTTGTCTCAATGGTAGAATTATGTTCTTTATGAGATGAGAAATGTAAATATTCCACAAGGAATCATGATAGAGAATATTTTCTAATTCTATTACATCGATGACATAAGAAACGCCATCTCATGCTGAATCAAGTATATTCATCACATGAGCATCTCTAAATCAGGGTGGTAACTTCAAGTGGAAGTAGTCCTTCTAAATGTCTGGTTTTATTTGTTCTTTCCGCTCAAATTCCTCCATGATTATGTATCTATGAAAGATAAAGTCTAGATACACTCTGCTTTGTATTCCAGCTGACAACACCTCAACCTGGCTGGCGACTTCAACCTTCGATATTTCAGAAACGTACTTCCTGCTGACGGAATAATGCATATTTGTAAATTGAAAATGGAGTTCTTGAGCAGCTATTGTTTGAATGATTGTTCAATAAGCAAAGTGTGGGCGACAGACCATGTTAGCTGAGAGCTAACAGAAAATATAGCTTTATCCGCACAAAGCCACGAGCTAGCAGACACGCATGGGGCGCCAAACTGACCAAACACCAGAATCAGACCCACGGCTCCCGTATTAACCGAGGTTGTAATATGCCTAGAGGCACACATAACTTGAGAACAGGATCCAAAATGAATAATAAGAACATATCGGCTACTAGACAGGACACCAGTTGGTAGCATATGAACGGAAATTTATCCTCGAACGCTCATAGTATTTCTGTAGAACCCCATCAACTTACCACGTATAGGTTGACTCACGGTCCTTCTGCATACACGCGCGAGATGAGTCAACAAATATGCGACTACGGAAGACCCAGCAACAACAACCCTCAAGACAATTTAAACACAGGGTACTTTGGCCGTGCAAATTACAACCTGAACAGCGAAACAAACTACCTAATATCGATAAATAATCCCATATACCAACGTAATGATGCCAGAGACCAATATGTGCAACAGGATTTTTTCGGCTGCAGCAAACAATACCCCTTTTGGCTGCGCAATTTGTTCAGACAATAATAGGATCCCTCCAAACATAATATGAGCAACCAAGGTTTAGGGATAGTAACGAGAAGGCGTACTAACTATCCTCCCAACAACCTTGGTTTTGTGAAGATTATTTCCCTAGATGTTCGATCTCTCCTTTACAAGATAACATCCCTTCGCTGTCTGATATACATGCAATGGCCAGAACTAGCCTATGTAACTGAAACCTAGCTGACTAATAATATACCTGACACAAAGCTAGTAATTGACAACTACCACAACCACAGGAATGATAGAGTGGGCAAAAGAGGAGGTGGGTGTCTAATATATATGCCTCTCATTACACTGACTCCAATACATCTACCAACCCAACTATCGACTAACTTCCAGAATCTAAGTAGTTAGAACTCCACACGAATGAAAACAAATTCTCGTGGGATGTATAAAAAGAAGCCCTAACAGCCATAAAACGACTGATACCGCTATTGGAGAAATACTAGAGCATGGAACTAAGCTTCGATTCGACTAAAAAATAGCTTGTGGCGATTCCAAACTCCCCAGAGTGAACTGTGAAACCAACACTGGACCTAGAATTCACGAACAGCTCCTAAAAGCTGTAGATGTAGCAGAATGGAAGTAGTGCGTACGCATCCCAATACAACATAACAATATTATCGACTTCATCCACTGACACGAAATATAACCAAACTCAATAGAGGTGGAGAATAAACTCGACAACAGCGATCACAATGCACTGTACCGCACTCTACTTCCTTAACTTAACGATTAAACACACACCTAAAAATTCCCCGGTTTACTATCAATATGGGGACCATAGATAT